CTGACGTGTGATTCATCTTCAGCCATTGTAGGGGCTTGTGACGTCCCCTGTGCCTCTGTGCCAGCCTCTGGGTTTGCTCACCAAGGTGACAGCTTGCCGAGTGTCCCCTCGTGCTGTCGGCCCTGCCCGGCCCACTGTTGATGGTGAGGCCCACACAGCTGGGTCCCGTCACCTGCCCTCGTTGCCTTCTGCATGTCCATTTGGCCACCTGGGCAGTTCGCAGAGGGTGACGATTAAAGACAGTGTCCCCTCCCACTGGACGCGCTGAACAAGGACTCGCGTGGGGCCTCTGCTGTTAACGGAGGCCACGGGTGTGACCGGGGTCTGCACGGGGCACGACGTTGCAGTGCGGTGAAGGTGCATTTTGTAAACTGTTGACTCCACGCGCTCGGTTTGGTACCCAACATTCACTTGGGTCCAGTCACAGGAAGCGACTGGTGAGTTGGCAGCACCCGCGTCCCTGGAGTGGAGACCAGGCAACACGCGTTCATTCCAAAGGCATTTGCTGCGTACCACAGAGTCTTCTGGAAATCTGTGGAGAAAATGGAATTGAAAGTACGAGTTTACTTTGGTGGAAAAAAAAACAAAAAACAAAACCGTGAAATCCGTGGATAGTATTTTCTTACAGCCATTTCATAAACTCTTTGAAGCCCTGAATGTGTGTAGGAACTCTGCCCTTGGCCTTCTGGGAGACTTCAGGAGCCAGCTCAGCCCTTCAAGATGTTTCCGGGGCTGGAAGGGGTGCAGTGGTGCAGTGGCCCTCAGCGAGGAAGCCACGGGGAGGTCCTGATTCCGGTCAGACCCCTGAGGAGGCGAGGCACATGTCTGCCCGTGGTCAGGCCTGCCAGGGTGGGGATCGTGGCATCGGGACCCCTCCGGGCGCTTCCTTCACTCGTGTACAGAGTAAACGAGGGTATTTAAAGGTGTATCTCTGAGGCAGATGGCCACAAGTGTATGAGTGACAGTGGCAATTTTTTAAAATTTGCTTTAGGGCACTAGCTAGAGAGAAGGGCGGGGAGAGGGAGAGAGCACTCCAGAGGGGCTGGCCATGCTGCAGTCCCTTCCCCTCTGCTCAGGATCTGGGCACGCGTGCACATGCACCCGGCGGTGCAAGTCACCCGGCGGTGCAAGTCACCCGGCGGTGCAAGTTTACTTAGGTGCAGACTTTGGAAGCCCATGAATAGTGTTTCATAATACACATTTTTACATATTTTTAATTTTTTTTTTTTTTGGAGAGATTTTCACCGTAGGGCGCGTGCGCTCGCCAGACAGACAGACAGAGACATAGAGACAGAAAGCGAGAAATCACCCCCCAGGGGGGATGGTCACACCGCAATCCCTTCTCCATTCTCCTCTCAGGATCCTGGGCACGCACACACACGCGCCCGGCGTGAGTTTTAAGCCACCGGGTCCAGGACACGAACCGCGGTTGACTACGTGGGAGTCCAGCGACATAGCCATTACGCTAACTGCTGGTTCCCCCCATATTTTTAATTTTTAAAAAAGTTTATTCTGAGAGGCGCAGCACCCCTAACGGCCCTGGTGCTGCGATCCACCCCAGCCTCGGGCAGCTCTGGCTCTATGTGCGCCCTCTGGACTCAGAAGCAGAGCCTTTCCCCCCAGGGTTGCCTTGCGAGGTGCCACACTTGGCCCCACCGTGGACTTCCCAAAGACTCGGGTAAGCCTTCCTGGCGAGAATGGGCCCGCAAGCCCATAAACTGCACTGGTTTCTCCAGACAGCCGTGGGCTCTCCCGGAAACAGCGCAGATCGTTTAAAGAGATTTCTGGTATAGGCCACTTGCACTCACTGGAGAAAGACGGAAAGCGAGAAATTGCCCTGCAGAGGGGATGGCCGTGCCACAGTCCCTTCGTTCCCAGTCTCCTCTTGGGATTCTGGGTATGCGTGCACATGTGCTTGGTGTGTTTTAAGCTGCTGGATCCGGGACTTGAACTGCGGTCTACTGTGGGAGTCCAGCTATGTAACCAGGACACCATGTACTGGTTCCAACCCCACAAATGGTAAAGATCAAGTCCCTGGAGAGTGCACAGCGGAGACAGTGCTGCATCCGCACGGCCCACGGCCTTTGTGACCGAGCCAGGTTTTGTGGCCCCGTGGCTTTTCATACTCAGGAGAGAAATCCAGTTCTGGGCCTAGAGTCGCCTCTCCTTGGAGGGCTGTGAAGGTCAGCTACCATATTCCAAATGCTCCACGCCCCACCGAAGACAGACGGGTTACCCCCAGGTCCCGTGGACAGCTGGAGCACTGCTCAGAGTGACAGGGCATCGCCCATCCTTCCTCAATCCCTCCATTCCTTCCATGTATAGCTTTTGTTTTTAAGAATTATTTTTAATTTTACTTACTAATTTGCTACAGGACACACGCACTCACCAGAGAGAGAGAGGGAAAGTGAGAAAGCAAGCCGCCAGGCCTGGGACTCCAACTGCAGTCGGCCATGTGGGAGTCCAGTGTCTTCATGCCATCTGCTGGCCCCGCCATGTGCAGTTCTCTTTTTAAAAGAATTATTTAATTTTATTATTAAATTTTACCAGAGAGAGAGAGAGGGAGGGAGTGGGAAAGTGGAAAAGCAAATACCCAGGTCCTAGACTCAAACTATGGTTAGCCATGTGGGAGTCCAGTGCCCTGACCACTGTGCCACCTGCCCATCCCCATGTGTAGTTTTTGGTTTTTTAAATTTTATTCACTTTGTTTTAATTTGACAGAGACACAGAGAGAGAGAGAAAGAGGGGAAGTGAGAAAGCAAGCCACCAGTTCCAGGACTCGAACCGTGGTCAGCCATGTGGGAGTGTCCAGCACCTTAACCACCGTGCCACCTGCTGGTCCCACCCCATGTGTAGTTCTTAAGATTCCATACTGGGATGGGACCAGCAGTCAGCATAATGGCTATGTCACTGGACTCCCATGTAGTTGGCCACAGTTCACGTCCCGGACCCGGTGGCTTAAAACTCACGCCGGGCACATATGCGTGTATGCCCAAGATCCCGAGAGAACGGAGGAGAAGGGGTTGCGATGTGACCATCCCCCCGGGGGGGAGCGATTTCTCACTTTCTGTCTCTCTGTCTCAGTCTGTCTGGTGAGCGCACGAGTCCTAGAGCAAAAACCTTTCCAAAAAAAAAAAAAAGATTCCATACTGGGACCGGCATATGGCTACATCACTGGACTCCCACATGGTCAACCATGGTTTGAGTCCCAAACCGGGCTTGAATCTCACACTGGGCATGGGTAGGTGTGTGCCTGAAGTCCCAAGAGGAGAATGGAGAAGGGATTGCAGCATGGCCACCCCCCTGGGGGTGATTGCTCACTTTCTATCCCTCAACCTCTCCAGTGGCACACAAGTCCTATAGCAAAAATCTCTCTTGAAAACAAAAAAGGGGACCAGCAGTTAGCATAATGGCTGTCACTGGACTCCCATGTAGTCTACTGCAGTTCGAGTCCCGGACCCAGTGGCTTAAACTCACACCGGGCATGTGTGCGTGCCCAAGGTCCTGAGAGGAGAATGGAGAAGGGATTGCAGCATGGCGGGGCCACCCTCCTCCCTTGGGGGTGATTTCTCGCTTTCTGTCTCTGTCTGGCGAGCACATGTACCCTATAGCAAAAAAAAAAAAAAAAGCAGATTCCATACTAAAGAGTTAGTTAAAAGTGGAATTGAACTTCGTTTCACGAGAGAGGGACACAAGCAGGCACCTTGAGCTGGGTCCCACGCCACCATTCCCCCAGCCAGCCCGGCTCACGAGTGCAGCATGCGCGTGTCCACTGGAGGAGCCCCCGGAGCTGCGGCCCTGCACTGGCCAGCGAGCTGGCCTGAAGGTCCTGTCAACACCTGCCAGCCATCCTGTTACTTTTTATTTTGAAGTATAGGCTTACAGGAAAAACTGCGGAAAGAATGCTCAGTTTCCTGTAACGTTCACATTTTCCGCAGTGCGGGGGTCGAACGTCGGTGCCGGTGCCACTACCGTCGGTCCTCGCCTGCCTTCCCACGTCCTCTGTGTCCCTGGATGCCACACTACCGAGCTCTCACGTCTCCCTGGTCTGACGGGTCTTCAGCCCTTCCTGCTCGCTCCTGGCCTCGGCGCGCTGGAAGGACAGTGTTCCGGCAACACGGAGACGGTCACTCGGGCGTGGGGTTGGTGCCCCATACGACAGGGTCAGGCTCCCCTTGGGCAAGGACGCCACAGAGCGCACTGCATCAGGGCACGTGTGCTGCTGGCGCTGAGGACCTGGCGGCCGGGGCCCTCGGCTGAAGCCTCCGCGTCTGCATTCCTCCACGAGGTCGGCGTTTTGCCTTAATGTCTGGGGGGCTACACTTCGAGACTGCAACTCCTCCTCCAAGCTGGCCTACTGATTAGTATTCGCGGGTGGATTTTGACTGGGCAGCCCTCCACACTTTGCAGCGGGAGGAGCGGCTGGCTTGCTGGGGCGCTCTGTGTCCCGGGGAGGCTCCCCAGCGCCACCTCAGCAGCTGGGGTTTGCTGCCCTGGCTGTTTGGCTACCTGCGCTGTTAGGTCAGGTAGGCAACGGCAAACCTGAGTGGGTGGCGGGGACGTGGGTGTCACGCCTTGGGAGATACTCCAGTTCAAATCTTCCCTCCCCTCCTACCGCGGCCCTGGGTGAGCTGGGCCAGGGCCGCCTCACAGGGCGATGGCGGGAACAGGGAGGTAATGGCAGGGAGGCGTGTTCACCAGCCCACACGCCCCCAGCAAGAGCCCTCATGGTCCATGGCAGGCCAGGAGGGGGACACGGTGCACTGAGTAACCCACAGGTGGCCAGGGTAGGGAGCGCTGTGCCAGGAACGGTGTTTGGAGGAACTGTTGTCACTGCGGCCTGTGGGCGGGCACCGGTGCGAAACTCAGCATGCCAGTCAGAACCCGGGTTACTGGGCCACGCGTGACCACAGGCGGAGCTCGGCAGCCTGGCGTGTTTAGGGACAACCGCAGCGACGGGCCCGTGGCGTGTCTGTCAGGCCGTCTGCTGGTGGACTTGTGCAGGTGTCACCCGTCCTTCCTAATTTCTGGAGGCAGCAACGTGCGAGAATTACACACCCCCACCGCGGTGGCTGCCTCATCCACTCCTGTCCGTGCGCTCAGGCTTGGCTTCACAAGTTTGGGGCTGCGTGGCTGGACATGGGTACATGTGTAATTCGCACGTTTTCCCGGGAGGCTGGCCCTTCTGTCACTAGGAACTGCTGCTGCTGTTTGCTTCTAATAGTTCTCTTTCCCAGGTCTGTTTTTTTTTTTTTTTTCCTTTTTTTTGGAGAGGTTTTTGCTATAGGGCGCAGGTGCTCCCCAGAGAGACAGAGACAGAGACCGAGACAGAATGAGAGAAATCACCCCCAGGGGGGATGGCCACGCCGCAATCCCTTCTCCATTCTCCTCTCAGTATCTTGGGCACGCACGCACACACGCCTGGCATGAGTTTAAGCCACTGGGTCCAGGACTCGAACTCCAGTACACTACATGGGAGTCCAGCGACATAGCCATTACGCTAACTGCTGGTGCCCGCAGGTCTCTTTTATCTGGTATTTGTATGGCCAATCTCGCGCTCGGTGGTCCGCTCTCGGTAATCCGGCTCTCGGTGGCCCGTTCTCGGCGGTCTGCTCTCGGTGGTCCGTTCTCGGTTGTCTGCTCCAGGTGGTCCGCTCCCAGTGGTCCCGCTGTCTGTGGTCCCGCTCTTGGTAATCCGGCTCTGGGTGGTCGCAGTTTGTAGAGGGGCTAGGGCGTGGCCTGCAGGGGAGGCAGGGACTAGCGCGTGGTGGAGGGGTGGGGGCGGAGCACAGCCGGCACGTGGCGAGGGCGGGGTGCGACGTGGCGCGTGGCACGTGGCCGGGCGCGCAGGCGCAGTGGGCAGCGGCGGCATGGAGCGGTTGCGCTGGCAGGTGGTGGCCTCAGCGGCC